TTACTGTTAAGTATCTGTGCTCACCCCAAAAGTAGGAAGGAATGGTGGAACAAGTGAGCAAATACCGCGACATCACTGATCCCAGTCCTGCCTAGTGTACATCGTGAGGCAATACAGTGCACTCTTATTTACTGTCGCTCGTTAGTAAGTTTTCTTCATAGAAAATGAGTCAGATTTTTGTTACCTTTTGATTACGTTCGTTGCCCGAAAGCCATTAACTTCCGTTTTCTATACATAATATCTTTGCTTACTCAAATTGTTTTAATTCACAGTGCGCTCGAGTTGATCTGGATCAGCGCACCCATATTTGGAAGGCGCTATGCATTTACAATAAGTCGCTATCCGTTTATTACTGGAACGGAATTTACAGTTAAACCTCTACTGCTGATACTCGTAGAGTTAAACAAAGGCAACCACCTGTTAGAGTATGATGACAATGTACTAGATTCGTGTTACACGCATCAGGGTTGTAGCTTCAAACATGTTCCGAGACACAGATTAGCAAAGCTTTCTCCGGCTCACGGCTAACCGCTTAATTACCTCACGGTGGTTTCTTCTTGCTGTGGGGTTCGGGTTTTGAACCATGGCGATGGTGGTTGCTTACCAGCCGAATGCTGGCGCCGTCATTGCGTTTTTTCATTGTGCCAAGTACCTCTTTCACTACTCGGTCGGTGGACGGGGCTTCTGACTTGTAACCCAATTGTGCCCCATTCGAATCTGCCTAGTTGCGAAGGACCTTAAGGTGTTCCTAACCTGCGCGCGACTGATGATAATCGCGTGTCAGCAAATGTGTCGGTGCAGAACACCGGTGTTCTGGTTGCGGCTGTATGCAACCGACTAAGACGCTTGCTTGGTTTTCTTCTTTTATTGGAATCTGCTGTCGTCACTAGATTCCGCTCATGGGAGTCATGCTAATGTGCATAACTTTGACGACAATATGATTGACTCTTCACCACAAAGCACAATCATGGAGTCGTTTTATGAAAGCCTGATTATTGTACACTCTCCAGCCAGCACCCGAAATTTATTAAAATTACTGTTTTCTTTTTTGGGATGAGTACGTGTCAAATCACAAACGGAGAAGTTCAGATCGTGCAATGGGGTAAACAGTATGGTCCATGTAATAAGCTTCACCTTTGTGTGGGAAAGAGAGAAAGGTATCAGAGAAGGGTCCGTGGAAATTGGCGTTCGACATCTGCTGGATCCGATAGGCTGCAAACTTCACCGGTTGGCAGCGAGCAGGAGCATCGAATCAAACACATACGTGGTGATGATGATTGGAGTTCGCGTTTGCCAGTGGATATGTTGTGGAGATGATTCTCCTTGGGTCGAAATGAAGGTGTATTGAACAGAATCAAGTGATTGTATGTTTCGGTATCGGTGAATTGCTCCCTTAGACAAGGTTAGGGCTTGGGATGATAATTGAATGTAGGTGAGATCAAACTTGCATTGGAATCTGACTTTGAGTTTAGGTACAAAATGCCAAACAGACAGTGCTGAACGGGGCGAAATATCACGAAGCAGAACGCTTCTTCATTCTACTCCTCTTCATCTTCTTCTGTCTCCTCTTCCTCGGAGCTGCTGTAACCCGCCACCACAGCAGCTGAATGGACTGCTGGCGTATTTTCAAATACTCCACTGTGCGGACATTGTTCACCTCAAATATCCATCTGCAATAATGATGGGGACATTATTAGTTGGTCGTGTAATTGATCAATGAAACGAGTCGGAACACTGGCGCACTGCTTAATAAGAGCATCCTTTGGCACACCATTATGGTTCCCTAAGTCAACAGAAACTGAACTGTAAAAGCGTGTTAGAGAGCCCAGCACCGTATTTATGTATCCGTTCATGGACATTACTATCCATTCTGTCGCACAATTCACTTCCTAGAACTAGTAGTCCGTGTCCTTCGGATCACTTACTTCGGAGGTTTCTTCACCTCGTTAGGCCACACCTGATCGACGACTCGTGGGTTCCGATCGCTAATGCACTTTTCTGCCTATTTCACCCAAGATAGGTTCAGTGGATGTCCCGTGATGCCCTTCGCCGTATACTTCTGAAGAAGACTATCGCTTTGCCTTCGCTATGAAGACTGTTCTGGCCAGGTCACACATTCACCTTCTTCTGGTTGGTGACCTCAATCTCCATACCCTAGACTGTCTCCACGAACATTTCAAAGTGGAATTAGAGGAACTACTCAGACCAGCTGTCCTGGATCTCGCGTTTACTAACGAGGAACTTAAGGTCTAACCGGTGTCCATGGGTAGTCCTATAGGCTAAAATAATGCAGCTAATAGTTTAGTCAAACACATCTATAGACAGATTGAGCCATCGCACTGTGCAACCTACTACCCTGACTGGAAACAAACCGCTACTTGTGCACCTAGGTATCCACAGTTATCTCAAAATGGACCTGCAACGCGTATCAATCAATCTGATCTGCTGTGCAACAGATAGGCTACAAGGATAGTCAATGTTGCTTGATCTAGAACTGCGTATGCTACCGTCTAATTTCGTGTCCTCCTTTTTCAACAAATGCGTTCGCTACGTCCGATTCATCTTCGTGGGACGTGGAAACTCACAGCGGCCCTCAATCGGAACTCACGTTTTCGTTCGCACAGATGTAGTGCGTCGTACTCTTTAAACTCCCAACACAGGTACCCTCAAGGTTATTCGGCGAACTTCGAAGCACTTTATCCTATACCAGAGTAGTTAATGAGCAACGGTATTTAGCGCGCTTTCCAAGGTCGCGAACACCCAACTTCATCTGATGCATCCGTACGGTTACTCACACGTGCAGATGCATCTTCCGCCCCAAGCACTCACGATTCCTCTGTTCCACTCAACCCTGCACCCACCCAGGTGCAACCCCCCTCCTGATCGACACGGTAGATAAATGTAACTAGCGGCCGGTTTTACAGAATTTGATAAATCTTGCTATTTACCGTAACACAGACTTTGTACTTTTCATATTTATCGTATTCCTCAAGGACAGGCGCCTCTGAAGAAATCGGGAGAGGTTCAAAATTATCTGATAAATTAAAAACGTGTAGTCTGTTTTGATTCATACACTGTGTCATACCGTTTGACGTTCTACCTCCCAGCCCTTCATGAGTTTTACATTTAAGAATTCAATGCTTCCAAAACATTTGTTTCATTTGGTTCCCAGACTGGCAGATCCCTGCCCTATTACCTTAATAACAAGGATTGAAATTCCGATACATGTAGGTGACGACAACAGCTAGTTTTGCCCATGGGTGGTCTTTTAGGTTTTTTTAACGACGACACTTGGAATTCACCCTGGGATGAGGTTCGTTTTGGTTGTAGGATGGAGGGGGATTTATGGAAATGCACCTCTCAGATACGCTTCCAAGTTTCATTAAGCTGTGTTTTAATTAGTGGTAAGCTGAAGGTACTGATAATGGCGCTGGAAAGTAGTTCAATGGCTGCAAGCCACAGATGGAGAAAACAGTTCATTGACATCGTAGCCGGCCGTACTGCATGACCAAATTTAACTCATGCCCATCAGGGAAGTGGTTTGGCCGTTTCATTAGGTGCTGGCGTGCGTGTCAGAGGTATTGGAAGATCTGATGCTCCATTGCACGAACCCCGGTTGACGGCGATAAGTACCTTTTTAGTCGAAGTTGTTAGGGGAGGGACAATCTCTTAACATTATTTGCACCTCAGCATTTTATTGCCTTAAGCACAACGGTATGCTGATTCTGCAATTATTAGTGGGCCAAGGGACCGCATTTCACTCACGTGCTAAATCCTGGCAAAAATGTTTAAACGTGAAATATTTAAGAACGCCCTTCACATCATGTCACATGGCTCGAATTGTTGCTTCCCCCGCTCCTGAGGTTGGTCTCCAGCATCCCAGGAAAATTTATGTTAAGGAATCGCTTGTTACATCAGTGCTAAATCTACTCGATAAAACTCTAAATTATACTCGGAAATCCAAAGGGCATTAATCCTATGATCCGTGTGTAAGGGAACGCTTTCTGTCAAAGGAGCGATAGACGCTAAGTCTAATTTGCGAATAAATACGTTTCTTCTACTATCTTTTGCCTTTGACGTGGTTTATTGGTAATGGGGGCCGGGTAGCGCGGCAGGGGACAAGTGTATTTTTGTAACGATCAAAGTATGGGTAGGCAAATAGCACACAGCGCTGTGGAGTTTGTTCGCTAATTATTTATTGACCGTCCACAACGTGTTTCATCGTCACTATTTTTGGCTCTCTGCTGGGTGACTGAAGTATTTTCACAAAACCAAGACAGTAACTTTAAACCGATGTACATAAAATGGACCACTTAAGATTCAGCGTGCTGAGCATAGTTTTAAATTCAAAGTTCTACTGAGACTTGTTTTTGGACTGTCGAAAAAGTTACCACTTGTTAGGAATTAAACTGACCAAACTCACGATCGCGTCCGTTCGGAATTTCGTTCTAAACCCCAAAGCGTGCATTTGAAATTAGTACCGAGTTGGTCGCCTGTGTTATTGCTCACAGACACTACCAACTTCGTTGTTAATACTGACCTAAATTTATTACTTATCGACAAAATGAAGGTGGAGTTCACTAGCATAAACAAAATCTACGCTTGCTATGACAGCCTTAAGCATAGAACTCAATGACCGAATTCCGTGATGTATCTACTATAAATAACAGGCATAACATAAACTTCAGCTGCCATTTGATTGTGTCGGAGGAGGTACTGGGTTATGTAGTTGGCTCGTAATCTTTTCATATATATTCCTCAGTTTTATGCCCTATGGCACAATAGCCAACGTTTATCGGGAAAGACCCCACATATTCAACGTCGGAAGATGTATTTACCCCAATGTTTACGCAAATTTACAGGTGTACTTCAACCGACATAGCACGCATAAAGCGCCGAAACGATAGGTTTTGATGTGCATATCTAGTTGTGCTTTCACCATGAAAATTTCATGTACTCAATATTTCTCTCCTTGATCTTTCAGAAATAAGATATTTGTGATGAGCTCCGGTTGCGTTTTCTTTGTGTGCCTTACACTGATTTGCGTGATCACTGCTTTTAAGTATGTTGTTGATCTACAGTATGATAACAAGGGTACATTTTGAAATACAATTATAAGTTCACCAAATTTCATTTAGGTAAGCCGTTTGTCTACTTTTCGGGAAGGAGATATTATCAGACTGGAGACAAGACGGTCACATTCTTAGAAACTGATGGTTGCATTAGCACAGTTTATCTGGACTGGCCTGCCGTTCCAGAAAATATTGGCGTGGTACATGTGGATCAACACAAGTGAGTGTATATTTTACTTAATGTACTATACCGTCTTCATGAAAGACATAAGTTTGATTGGTTAACTTATCTAACTATCCTCTAGCCATTGAAAATTCAAGCGGTACCATTCGGAAAATATGAACTAGTTATTTCTGACACTTAACCCGATGTGATTTTATCTATAAACTGGATATATCTGTATATTTATAGTGACTGGAATTGACAGTGAGATATATTTTTGCTCCTTCTAATAGGAATGATGAAATGGATATGTTGATTGATGATACATAAAAATGTATCATACATTAACAGTTACAACCGTAAAAGTGACACAACTAATATTGGCTGAGATCCACTATTTCATTTTATGCGGTCTGCCTTCATACTCGTTTCAGCATATATTCATCGTCTAATACAATTTTAAGTACACTGTTGGGTGTACGTATCCTGATGTGTCTTCTGTCTATGGTATATTGGGTTAATATTGCATGAAGAACGCATCCATGTCTGCATTTGGAGGAGATGTTTGTAGTTGGCAATAATATTTTTCCATTGGTATTTATGGCACAGCTTCCGTCTGCGATCTATGAAACATAATTATATAAACGGATGAATATGAGTCATAAAGCTACCGGGGAAACGATAACGACAGATAATCAGGATCAGTTAAAGTAGGCATATATTGGGTGAAAAATAAAGATGTCATCACCGACTCGTCAAATTAATAAATAAGACATGTATTGTTTGTCTAACTACATACTAAGCTGTCCATAGTTCCGTGTACGCCGGTAAAAGGCAATAGAATTACAGCTGGTGGCTTACATTCACATACGTTAAGCTAGTAATGGATAAGATATTTTGAAACTGGTATGCAAATCGTTGAAGCGAAATTGTTCGTTGCCAAATTGACAACTTTTAACACCATTACCTGCAACTTTAGTATGATTACGTTCTGACCATTTCCGCTCTGATGGCGGGATAAATTAATAGCTCTGGGTGTAAATGCCGAATTTATAATCTCAGACAGAGATATAACGGATAAGTTAGAACCTAATATGTCGTTGTGTAATTAACATGATTTGGGGCGGCCAGCCATATACGATTACAGGTAAAAGCATAGCCGGAATAAACACTCAACGAGCAAGTTCTGCGGCGGCAATGAATAAAGAAGCTAAATCGAGATATGTAAGACAGGTATGCGTGGATGTATTCGCTCATTATATCTTCCCGCCTCGGCATCGATCTCTGTCCACCACAGTATGAATCAATGGCTAAAAATTCACAGTACCGTGCAAACAGTCTAGCTTGGTAATCCATCCGAGTGGGCGCCAAAAAATTTCGTTTTGGTTATAAAGACATAGAAAACTGTTTAGCTACCCGTATTTCTTCTTTCACGTATAATTCCTGCAAGTGTCAATGTGCGTTACACTATTATTTGTTTTTAACTAAGACACTGCGAAACGTACTAAACCTATTTTCATTTTTCTATTTCCTATTTTTCGCAGATTATGCGCTTAATACGCCGATATTTGTTTGAGGATATCCGCAGTGTATAACACATATTTTACCTTTTGAACAGATCGCACATCTTTCACTGTCGTTAACATTTCGCTTTTTAATCTTTATGAGATCCATCTTATGTATGCCTCTTGGAGAGTGAATGTCCAATTACCATACAAAACGCGAAATACAAGTTATCTATGTTGGATATACACCACCAGTTTATAGTTAGCAAGGTTAACAATTGTATGCAAAAAGCGGGATACGAGGGCTCTGTTTTCTTTATTTCAAACATTTATCCCGTATCTAAAGTCATGTGGCTCCTCTACATAACGGACGAAGAACGTGGAAGATGGTCCTATTTGTTTGCATTTAAAAGATGCAAACCACTGTAAACCGTTTAATACCTGAATGTTTCTTCGTCTACTGGTTTATGTTAGACTATATATTCACACAAGCAGCCAAGCGATAGAAAATTATACAGGCAAATAAGTGGCTGCGTAAATTATTATGGATACAAATTAATATGTCCTTGGGCTCAAAAGACACCTGTGATGAACGTGCATATGGAGAGATATGAAGGAAAGTTCCAGGAGCGTCGGAAGCAGCGTTTAGTTCGTGTCCACAGACGTGTATGTACATAAAAGGTGGTCCCCATTCGACAAACAAACGGCTTACTATTCGGTGTAAATCATTAGACTAACATTCGGAAATATTTCATCGATTCTGTGAAAGCTGTACTAAACATTCTTAACTACTTTATACAGTTTCCTCCTAGAATGGAACCACGTGATTCTTCAATATAGGCTTGTTTCCATAGTCCACGCCTAGCTTTACTGCGAGTCCAGTTGGTGAAACCACATGCCATTGCTGGGAGGCACCAGTGCAATTGGACTCCAACGGGCCCCCAATGTAGCATTAATGACTGTGCCAAGCCAGTGGCTGGAACTGACGTTAGATCACACATTATTTTTCCACCTGCTGACCGGTATTTTTAGATAGTCCGATGTGGAAAAAATGCAAAATTGCGTAACTTACTTTCGTGTAATTGACCAGAACCAATGAACGAAATGAAATTTGCATAAGATTATGGCGAAATAAAACACGTGGGCTCTATATGTTTTTATACGAGGTTTGCTCTCTTAATTATCGAAATATTTTGCTTCTTTTCGATTTTGTTTGACGCAGTGATGAACTTGCTGAGAAAATGAAAACAATGAACAACGAACACTGAGTTATAAAGGGTAAAAAAGCAGGTGCTTGACATGTCCTGTTGGGATATTTAGCGTGAAAAAAACTAGAGCAAGGGATAATGGGGTCTCCAGTTCGAGGGATTACAGAGTTAACTGCACTGTCGTATAAAGGAAGTTTGAAATGAGGATGTACGCACACAAAGTAATAAGGGGAGTGGTTATTGATCACATTTTTGTTGAGAAAAAATATAAATAGCAAGGCCAACGCTTACTCGTGTGCAACTATTTTAGGTCTAAAGGATACAGAAATCTAGTTTCTATAGTAGTAGCGTTTATCAAATGGCGTGCAAGGGGTTTGGAGTGACTCATCCTGGAGTAGGGTTATGGCACTATCCACTGTCTGTTGTGCATAAGTGCCAGCATCTGGTGGTCATGGGCTATAGTACGTAGTGTAAATGTGCCAGCGTATCGTCAAGGCGTTTTTGAAAAGGGATAGGGCGGATGCATTAATTACATGTTCCGGGAGGGCGTTCCAAGGCTGTGCCACTCGAAGGAAGAAACAGGTTTGCCGACATCCCAGGCGGCTGTACTGCGTAGCTAACTTAAACTGCCGACCTCTTAGCAGGGTGTTTTGAATGAGTATGAGAAGGGAATGGCATGGGTGGTTGGGGTCTCTCAGTATCTGGTACACCATTATAAGATCGCCCCTTAGATGCCGATAACGTCCACTGTATATTTTGAAGGTCTTCAGCCTGAGTGGGTAGGGGAGGTTGGTCAAACCTCTGACGCTCTTCCTTGCCCTACGTTTTTTACTATCGAGCGCGGTGAGATGGTGCTTGAGCCAGGGTTGCCACATTGAATAGCGTATTCCGCGTGCGGCCTCACGTACGCACTAAGCATTTTTGGAAAGACTGAAGGTTCAAACTTCCCGAAAGCTCTGCGAAGAAGGCCGAGACACTGGTTTGCTCTCTTAGCTGCCTTTTCAGTCTGCCTCAGATAACCGAGGTCACGTTGAACTATCACGCCGAGATCGTATCCGTGAGAAGCCCGTTGTAGAATTTTTGGTCCTAGGCGGTACTTGCGTATACTCTTGCGTCGTATGCTGAGAACATTGCACTTGGTGACGTTGAAATGCAGCATGTTCTCGATGGACCATGTGTACACTTTGTCCAAGTCATTCTGTAACCTTGTGTAATCCTGCTCTGCAGCTATAGTGCGCCATACCTTTAGGTCATCAGCAAATAGAAAACAGTTAGAAGATAGCACGCTCGCGAGATAATTTATGAAAACCAGGAACAGGCGGGGTCCAAGTACCGAACCTTGAGGTACGCCGCACTGAACTTCGATAGATTCTGATAGCTTGCTTCATACCTCACACTCAGGTGACTTTGCACGAGCAAGTCTCCTATCCAGCCCAGGACAGGATCGCCGATTCCATATTTCTGGAGTTTGTGGAGGAGAATGCGACGGTCTATACGATCGGATGCCTTTGAGAAATCTAAGTAGGCCGCGTCGACTCCTACACCAGCGTCCACTGATTCCGTCCAGCTTGCACGAGCAATCAACAGATTAGTGGTACAGGAGCGATATTGGCGAAATCCGTGCTGCTCCGGAACGAGAATTTTGCTGTTCTCCAGGTATCCAATCAAAGTCTCAGCTGCAATGGACTCCATAATCTTGGAGATCACAGGAAGTAGTGTTATCGGGCAATAATTTGCTGGTTCAGCACGATTGAGAGTTTTGTAGATACGCATGATGATTCCGTGCTTCCACATCGTGAGGACGTGCATCTCGTTCATCATCGTTGAAGGAAAATTGCTAGTGGTTCTGCCAACCTCATGGCAGCAACTTTCAACGCCTTTAGGCGAATGCCGTCCGCACGCGGGGAGCTGAACTCGCGCAGAGACATCAGCCTCTTCAGTACAGCTGCGGAGGTGAACGATATGTGATTAAGCCCTGATGGCAGCGTTATCTGCTTGGGCAGGAAGTATGACGATTGCGCGCTTTGGAAGGTACGGCCAAATTGTTGTCCAAGGAGGGTGGCCGCCTCTTGTGCTGTTTGGGCAAACCCGCATGCTGTGAGCAGAGCAGGAATACCGTGCTTTACATAGCGCAAATTGTTTAGGTGTCTGTATAGCACTTTGGGATTGGAGCAAAACTTTTCCACTAGACCTTGTTGGTTTTTCAGTTTATCCTCCCGGACGAGTTTGACACAGTGGTTCCTTTGCATTATGTAGACATCCCAGGTATGGTCGTTCGGGGAGGCTATGTAGGCCGGCAGAGTTTGGTTTCAGATGTCCTTGCCACGAACTTGGTAAATATGTT